GATAATAACCAGGTGTGAAAGGCGACGGCAGGGCAGAGCGCTGCAAATCACCCGGCGTGTTTGGGAACCGTGCCTGCCGTGAGCCGAGCCCCGGCTGCGGGGGGAGCTGGGGGCTCTGCTGCAGCCAGGGGAGATGCTCATGGCTTTTTTTCTCCTGCTGGAACCACGTTATTGTTGCAGTCGCAGCAGCGGCGATGCCATTTTGGGTTCAAAATTGAAGCCTTCTGCCCGTTTTCCTGAGCTGGAGAAGAAGGAGGTGAGGGCCACCTCTCCCCTCCAAGTTAGAGCAATTTGTTTCCGAATTGCTTTTTATTTGCAACATAAAATTGCATAGAAACTGTTGAGCAAAAGGAAGAAAATGTTTTAAAAATGTCCAAGGTCTAGAATTGCGGGGTTTCGCTCGCCCCGCAGCATCCCCAGGCCCCGCAGCAGCATCCCCAGGCTCCGTGGTACCCGGCTCTGCCGTTGCCATGGGAACGCGATTCCCAAGTTCAGCCGGATGAGTTGCAAAATCCGCTCTCGTTTTTAAAGCAAATGTCTCTTTCACGAGAGCGCCCTGGGGAGCGCCGGCGGCGGCAGAAGTTCGGCGCGTGGGGCTGCAGCAAAGGGTGGCTTGCAGCCCCGCGGTGGGTTGGTCTGGGTCTCGGGGGAGATTTTGGTGCAAAAAAATGGCCCCCGGACACACGGGGCTGACCTCTCGGCATCGGTGTTTGCCTGAGCCAAGGGCACGGGCAGGCGGGGATGCCGTGTGCCTCGAGGCAGAGCCTGAACTCGGTCCCAGAAGACCGCGAAGCCAAAGAGCAATAAAACGCGGCCGATTCCTCAGGGGTGAGAATTAATCTGCTGCGAGGAGCCAGGCAGCGAAGATGAAATTGCAAACGAGCCCCGTAATGGCCCGCAGCAATGGGTTGATTTCACCGTCCAGTGGTTAGAAAATGTTATTAACTGGATCTGAAGATCACCGGCAGCTGAGGGGCACTGCCGGGGGTGTAACGGGAACGATCCCTCTTGTAACTTGGAGCGGTTTCACCCAGCAGGGATTTTTTGTGGCGGTGCGGGATCGCCCCGTGTGCCGTGGCCTTGCCAGGGATGCAGCTGGGATGGGGACCCTCGCAGCGTCCCCGCGGTCCCCTCGCAGCGTCCCCGCGGTCCCCGCTGAGGCCGTCCTTGCGGCCGCCAGCAGGGAGAGGGAGGCTCCGTCCTGTCGCGAAAGCCGCTTAAGGATTTAAACCCTCCTGTAGGACTCAAGTTTTAATTAAAATGGCTTTATCCGGGAAAGCTGGAAATGATGCGGGGAGGGGGATGCACAGGGGGGAAGATGCGCCAGGGGCTGGTGCTGGGAAAGGGCA